AAATTGATTTCTGTGTGGTAGCGCGTCAGTAGCCAATCATGGCGCCCGAGGTTTTATTGATCATCTAAATTGATCAATCAAATCAAAAACGCTGTACCGGAAATAAGGTGCGATGCGCGATTACACTGGCCATTCGCTGTAAGAGATAGTATTTTAAAAATCGATTTAAAGTCGTACAGTGGTTTCGATCATTTTTAATGTTTCTCATCCGACGCCTTTCATGCGTACACGCATAACTTTGTTCGTGTTTTGATCTTTCAGAAACTATTTAATTGTAGTTACTTAACTTTTGGCTTTAAAAATATTTAATCTCTTGCCCTACTAACTGGAAAATTGGTATGTTTATAGCCGTATTCAAGCACATTTTCCCCGTTTTTTTTTCAAATCGCGAGATCTGTACACTAGAAAAAAATATCATGCATAATATTTCTATGTTTCATTAATTGAATTAATTTCGACTTGAGCTATCTGAACATTTCATAGATCTATGGGCAGCGTTGATACGCTGCTGCCGTAATGACATTGTACCGGCGCGGGCGTCGGTTTTTTCTCGGGATCGCATTTGAAGTTATTGTTATTATTTTCTCTCGTAAGCCATCCCGAGGTTGACGACCTGATTCTCTCGGCACGATTCGTCTCCAGATTTCATTTGTCCGCATCAATATTTTACACGTCCCGATTTAGTATACGAAAAATCATTCGGAAAAGTAGTTAAAAGCCATTAATTGTAAGAAATGTTTGTGTTAAATTATAAGTAGGAAAAAATGTTTAAAACTAGGTAAATTTATTAACAATAATGTCTATTAAACGTAATAGATGAAGTTGTTAATGGTTAATAAATGCAGTAAAGGTGTGGATACAATCGATCAAGCAAGGTGTTCCATCAACGCAAATAATGGGATGGTTCCGATTGTCTGCGGACCCTTCATTATGTCCACGTATTGCCTTCCCCACGGTTAAGATTAGGTTGCTAATACACCTGAACTTAATGTTCACTATTTATTTACTTTTGCAACTTCTGTAATTCAATTGGAGTATAAAATATTTACCTAAATCAATAATTACGCTAACAGATCTAAGTTAAAACCAAACAGCTCTTTTTGTTGTTAATTTAAAAGCATAATGAATAAACATGCATCTAGTACGAATTCTCGTTTCTAGAAATGGAGAAAAGCCTAATATATTTAAAATAGCTAAGTACTTATGTGAATTACAACATTTCGTAACAGATATATGTCCACTCTTGTATATTAAGAGTTATAACAAATATGACTTAGGTCTTTAACGTTAAATTTGAGGTATTGTTACACCCTAGTGTACCTACGCCCTAAGCTAAAGTACGTCTTTCGGTACTATGATCTCATATATCAAATCAAACGTCATTTGTTTTCTACATTTTTAAGATTGCAGTGAAACTTGTAAAGTGGAAGTATGTCACATGAGTTAAGTCTGTCCAGACACAAATCACAGTAAATTATGATAGTATAGATAAAGAGCCTTGCAAATAAACGCGGTATAAAGTTAAACTTAGGTATAAAATCAGTAACTATAAGCAAATATTAGTACATTTTTTTCTTATATTCAGTTTATTCCTAAGTTTATCTTTATATCATGTTTATATGTAAGGCTGTTAGACTTTTATTCAGAGATACTGCGAACCGAAAAAGATTATCGGCATTTTACCTCTCTTCAATGAGTAATTATTGTTAACCATCATCATATTGATATAACAATTTGTTCATCTTACTAGAATAAATCATAATGAATACTAAAAGCGGTACCACCGCGTAAATGTAAAAGTCGTTGTAACATTTTTAAACCAAATATTAATTTTACAAAAGACAATAGCCATAGTAATTGTGCACGTACTTAATATGAAATTGTGTTTAACACCTGCTCCCACAAGCATGCACGTTTCGATTCTACAATGACTTTAGCCTGATTACAAAGCGTTAAGTTGTTATAACGTAACACGTATAAATATACACACATTGTTAATAAGCAAATTAGACAATTAACCTCGCAGTTTTTGACATATACTTGTTTAAAGTGGCATGTACAGAGTTTCATTTCAAACATATTTATAGCATGAATCGCATGATAGCATCGCCTTCCGTGTGTCAAGGGGCTAAGACAACGTGTCGCGTTGTCAGCGATGGGCTGACAACAGAGAAATGGGCGCATGTCATTAGCATGAACGCAGTTTCACGCTTCTCTGATTAAAGTCGCCGTCGTGATTATTTTGTAAGCTCTTGCTTATGGAATTATCCAGAGAAGTAATACATAAAGCATAAATTAATTAATTCTGTACTGTCATTTAACGATGTATTTAAATCTAACATAATACAATAAAATTTTATTTAAAATGTCAGGTCTATCAGATTGTAAAGGCTTCAGACGTCCGTAAATAAGATTGTTGCCGTTAATTTGTGATTATGAGTAAAGGTAAAACAAGTATAACGTGTGTTAATTTACAATCTGTGTTTTGTTATGTTTTTTTTAACTATAGTTACTTATTCGACTTTTTTACTGTTTTTTAGTAGCCAGGTATAAAAAAATTCATTTTATTTCAAATTCCAATTCGATATGACAGAAAATTGCCAATTAAATTAGGTTCTTTATTTAGCACACATATTTGTTTTTTAGATAATTTGACACAAGAAACGGTGTTTTTCTCGTAAGCTATAGAATATTTAATAAATGTATGTACAAATTATATATCGCTTCTGATGAATAAAGCCCTGAGTCGATGTGGGAAAACTTATACGTTATGATTTATTGGATATTACAAATTAAAATGCCTACACAAGAACTTGCGTTATACAATTTTAATGTGCGTCAGCTTATTGAATTGTTACTTAAAAAGAAATAATAAAACGTTGAAGAACTTAGTCATAATTCTGACTAAGTTTAATAAGGTAAAATTGTATTTAATGTCATAGAAACAATATTTTAATTAATTACAATCTTGTTGCTAAGCAACAGAACAAGTAGGTGAAAGTTGCTTTATGTTTGAAGTTGTTATACAAAATTTACCCATCTATACTTATTTATAAAGAGGAAAGATTTGTATTTTTGTATGTATTAAAATAACTCAAAAACTACTAGGCCGATTTTAAAAATTTTTTCACCATTAGAAAGGTAATTTATCTGTGAGTAACATAGGCTTTACTTTTTTATTATTTTTAAATTTCACGCGGGCTAAGTCTCGAGCAACAGCTAGTTTAAAAATAATATGTATAGTGGCAATTTAAAAACAAAATTAAGATTTGTAATACATCTATTATTTCCCGTAATATATATGTTTCTATTTTTTTTTCTTTGTTATTAACTAATAAATTGTCTTTATTTTTTACTGCTTTACTTTATTTCCTGGTTTCATTATGTTAATAGTATCCTACATAAATTCAATAAATAGTAATGCATTAACTCCACTAAGCCGCTAGAAGCGCGAGAATTTTTTTTTAACAATAGCGATTTTAAACGTTTTTTTAAAAAAAACGTTTAAAAAAAATCATGTAGCTGCACTATGAGACAAAAGGGGCGTTATACTTGTAATAGAAAAAGTGCAGTATACTTTACTAACCTCCACTAGGTATGGTGGCGTTTGTTTTGTACTCCCGTTCCTCGTGTGACAGCGTCCTTAGACTTCTCGAAGTTGGGTTCTTGTACTCCTCGCGAAGAGGCAGTGGCGGACACGAGATGAACTGCCGGTGGAAGTCCAGCGTTCTGTGCGTTGATACATTTGTACCTGGCGGCAGATAACCTTTATTTCAATGTTAGGTAAATTAATTACATCATTCTCAGACATATTTGTGAACTTTAATTTGATATAATAGCATTTGTATTAATAAAATTTCACAAAGCTGATACAAAAAAAAACATTGTGCAATTTTGGCTTAATTTATAATTACATTTCCTGTTTCAAAATAAATAGCATCGTGTCAATCAACTTATTAGATAGAAAAGGTGCGTTTTTTTACAGAGGGACCAAAATGGCGCAACAGAACCCTGCCTAAAAGGCACCGGTGCAATTATTTTCGTTCCCGTTCGAATTGAAAAAGTGTGCACATAATTAGTTCTATGAGTTTATACAAAGCAACGAAATGTATCGATACCGCAATTATGTTTTGAAATCGACGCAAACAAATGCAGCCGGTTAATTATCGTAAATAAATAATACTAGGGATGTAAGTTATATCTATAAAATTGTGTCGATCGTTCATAAAATTTTCATTTAGTATATTGAAGTCTCGCAATTGCTAATTTTCTGGTAACATCACGGCTATACGTTTGTACTGAAAGAGCTTTGACACAATTTAATTTTTTTTTTGGAATGAACTTCTTAGAATTTCTTCCATAAATAAAGAACCATACGTATTGTAAATCTAATAAGAAGTTACCATATAATAATATTAAGAGGTTGGTTAATCGAATACTGCATACTAATATTACCGTACTTCAAATAAATCAACGTTTAACATATTTGTGTTTGTGTGAAAGTATCGATATAATATTCTGTTCGAATGGTACGTCCCAATTAGCGAGGGTCACTGTGAAGCGGCTTACACCGGCACCTACAAATTAAGTCTATTAAGTCAAACTTTTAAGTCCATTGTGCACGCGAGATCTTTCCTTCTTGTCCACTGGAGTTTGGGGCTTATAGGCTAAGTACGTAGCCTTTTGTCTGCCCCTCTCTCGTTTTGTTTCGGGATATTTGGACTTTAAGCAGGATTTTCGACGTTTTCTCTTCCTTTTGAATGTTAACTTGATTCATTTATGTGTACAAGCATGTTCAGGTTGTTTGTTAATGCGATGAAATAATTATTTTGTGATAAAAAGAAAATGTTTTTTTTGCATGATAAAAAAATTTAAACCACTGAATCCTTTTTGTGATTTAAAATATAGAAATTTGTTGTTTGGATCGTAAAAGGATAAATTTCTATGGGAACCCATCATTATAGGACACGAATGTCTGTGCCAATGCCAACTCTTTATTTTTAATGTTTTTGGTAATGTATTTTTTATATTGTTTATGCTGGAAAATAAGCTCAGCACCTTTGAACATTCTTACGTACATATGTCCCTCGCAAGGCTCGTCCTCACAAAGGCTCCTCGGGAGCAGTTGCGACCTGTGCGTGTCCCAGCCTTATTACTGGATATAATTTCACTATTGTTCGCCGCCGGCGCTCCCCGTCCATATGGCGTAACGTAAACTTTTTTTATTCGTAAGCCAATTTCGATAGTTCGAGGTCTTTTCGAGCGTCTTAGTTTCGCGTGACTGCCCGGATGTCGGATGGCGGAAGGAATGAATTACCTTATTCATTTGCTACATGCTTATTATTTTAATACAAGATATACCTTTGACACTTTCTTACTTTGTATAGTAGAGCTGTTAATACGTTGAGTAATTTACTTTTCAATATTAAATAGTTATAATTACTGGCTTTATAGTAGACTAGCTGTTGCCCGCGACTTCCTCCACGCAATATTAAGATAAAAAGTTTCCTATAATTTGCCCGTCTATGTCAGCTACCCTTCAGTGAAGGTCCGGTCGAAATCGGGAACGCAGTTTCGGTGATTACCCGGAACATATGCGGCTTGCGGACAGACAGATAGACAGGCAAACAAAATTTAAATGCGATTTTCGTTATTTGCAACGCAAATACATCATCTTCCCGAAATCTAGAATTTTTCTTTTAATATTACAAACAGACACTGCAATTTTATTATAATTATATGTATAGATGACTGGTGACATCTTTTTGATATGCTTTCAACAGATTTATTGATGGTTTAAAATTAAAATCTATTCTTTTTTTATTAAAGTCGTACAAGCTAACAGGATTTTGTCTTGTGATTCTGGACGTTTTAAAACTGTCAGATAAAAATTATTTGTTGCTATGAATATTGGACGTCCTTCAAACGTCCCAGGGCTAGTTATCGTTTATGTAACTCCCGTGGGAAGAAAACCATTATCTACCACCGTTGATAAGAAACGAGCTCGCGGTACACCGCCGTATTGATAAAAATAGACGCATATTTACTGTAATTGATTGTTTTGTGTACCAAGATTTAATTGATTTCATGCAAACAAAGTGCATGAAGTAGACGTGCCAATATTTTTTTGGAAATCTTCTATTATCGATGTATTTCTATTGTCGATGTAGAGTTGAAGCAAAATAAGAAGAAAGTTACACAATTATTACTTATGTTATTTTACTTGTGTCTTTATTTAGATCACTCACTCTATTTAGAGCTTACTGTACGAGCTTCTAC